TTGCCATGCAAGTAATATCAAGGACAAAGGAAAAGACAGGGAAAGAGCATGATATGAGATACCTTTGCTTTTGCCCTTGATGATATGAGATACCTTTGCTTTTGAAGAAGCGGTGAATGAATCAGCACATGTATTTGGGGTGCTGTTTCCTCCTGGGTCATCTGTACTCCAGGCATCTGGTATCATCTTTGGGGAAGAAGAAAGAAGTGAGTGTTTCGAAAGGCTTTGCTGGGAGTGCGCCCTCAGAGGTGAGAAAGAGTTGGGCATTTTCTTCAGGTTTGCCTTGTCATAAAAGATGAAAGTCGACAAATATAGGGATAGCAAGTTGTGGTACTGTTCTCTTACCCTTGTCGACAAACGTTTTGATCCCGCAAATCCGGCTTTTTGAAATAGTGACGACTCTTCGATCTTTGAAGACGCCTCTTCGATTTCTGAGCAGGCGCTTTCTGAAAAGCAGAGAAAGCGTCGCCGACCTTTGCGCTTGTCGGCTAAAGACGTGTAGCTGCGATGATGGCCTCCACGTGTTGAACGCGTTTTCTGAAAAGCTGAGGGAGCGTCGCCGAACTTTACGCCTCAAATTCCGGCTTTTTGAATCGGTGGACGCGTTGCCTTGGCTTTTTATAGAGCTATCGATCACCGCCAACTTACACACTCTGAATATTTCCCATTCTTGAAACTCGTTTCCGGCCCTTTGAAAATTTACTCCGTCCACCCCTTCTCTTTGAACACTTTTTAAAAAAAAATGGCAAACCCATCGAACCTTAGCTTAGAATTGAGTCTCCGCAGTGATACGGGCGTGCCGCTTCAAGGTAACGTATGGCGCCCTTCTTTCTTATCTTCTAACGGTCCTCTTACAGGTGAAGATTCCGTGATGCAGGACGCCACAACAGCTACGATAGTAGCTCGGAACCTCCTCACTCCCAGAGATAGTCAGCTGCTTTCAGGACGGTCCGATGAGTTGGCCGTTCAAGAGTCCCTGGCTCTCAGCGTTCAGTGCGCTGGTTCTGTGTCAAACATGGGCCAACGCCTCCTTGCTCGCTCCCGTCAGGTTGAATCATTGATGGCGGAGGTGGAGAACCTGAAGCAAGAGATAAAACAACTTAAGCACGAGAATAGAACTTTGCACGTGCTTGCAAATAATTATTCATCAGGCATGAAGAGGAAGCTTGATGAGATGCTAGAATCTCAAGGTCGGTTGCAAAGTGACCGTCAACGGCTTGCGTCTTTCTTCCAGGGGCACCTTTTTCCTGGGTCATCCAGCGTTCCGCCAAGTATTGGGGCCTGGAATGCTCTATATCCGATGTCTTCTGCTCCTATGCCTCTTGCTCCGATGCCTCTTGCTCCGATGCCTCTTGCTCCGATGCCTCCTACTTCGATGCCTTCCGCTTCTAGAGTTTTGCCTCGTGGTGGGTCTTCACGCAAACAAAAACAAAAACAACCTTTGTGAAGCTCCATTTGTTAGATATATTTGTAATTTCTCGAAAATTAATGAAAAAGCTTTGTTTTATTCACTGTATTGGGTTGCCTCCCAAGTAGCGCTTTCTTTTACGTCTTGTAGCCGGACGAAGAACACAATCATGCCTTAATGGAACCCACGGCATGGAGTTGATCATTGAATGGATGATGATACTTGAAATGTTCCGGCAATGGTTGAATTTCAAGAGTGGGTGCCCTAATCATTGACATCAACAACATATTAGTCAAAAACGACTTTGGATTTTGAGTTGGTGGCTTACCTATGGGCTGCAATATTGGCTCTAAAGTCGCAGCACATTCAACAAATGTACAAGGGATGTTTTCATTCAGATTGGACATTTTGAAGGTTGTGGCTGTGTGATCCACTCCAATTTCCTCCTTGATGAATTCAAGATGCTCCTCAACCACTTTTTCCTCGTGAATTGTTGGAAAGGTGTCCAAGATGTCTTTCTTCCCCTCATCTTTCATGGATTGCATGAACCTGCCAGGGAAGGGTGCATTTGGGGGAACAAAGTTAGAAATAATTAAATTTGGAACAACCTTACTTGAATGGGGTGGTGTAGGAATATTGGGAGGTTGCGGCAAGGGTTGTTCTTCCCTTGCCGTGCCTTGTGCATCCTCCTCCTCTTCGAGCAGTAGCAATTCATCCATGGGCTCATCTTCAACCATTTGTTCTTGAATTTGTTCCATGCATTCTGCATTCTGCCTAAATTGACTGTTCCACTCAGCCAACTTTTTTGCTTGATAGAAATCCTCAATTGGTCGCCAAAATGCGTCTTGTTGAAATGGTTGAGCTTCCCTGCCCTGCTCCACAGAATTCAGTTGTTGAATAACTTCATTATAATAATTTGATATACCTGAATTTGGATGTGAAGATTGAGGGGAAGGCTGTGGTGGTGCATATGAATCCTCATATGGTTGCCAATATGTTTCTTGGTGAGTCTCCTTAGCTTGATTTTGTGAACCCTGCACCAAAGAGTTTAATTCATTAAGAATTTGATTATAATCTATTGACGAATTTGAGTTTGGTTGGGCATATTGAATATGAGGTGGCTCCCAATATCTTTCTTGTTGAACATTTTGAGGTTCCCACCACATAGAAGTTGAATGATCACTCCAATCCGAATTGTAAGTATTGGAAAACACGTTATTCCTTGATTGAAGATCAACTATATCAACGTTTTGCATTTGGGACCTTTCCATGAGCTGTGACAAAAGATAAGCATTATCAAATGCCATGTTGTGCTTCTAAAATCAACAAAATAAAACTAAAAATATATACACACAAACGAAAATAAAACAATCCAAGGGATTAGCAAAGTTGCTAATCCCCGGCAACGGCGCCAAAATTTGATGCGAGAATTATACGCACACAAATTAAACCCTCTTTTTGTCAATTGTAGTATAAGTATAAGTAGGGATCGTTCTGGACCGGGGATTAGGAGGGATTGTTAACCACTTGGATTTGACTTCAAAAACGTAAAAACAATATAAAACACTAAACTAGACTCAAAGAATGTGAAAGTAAACGTTAAAACACTAAGACAAACCAAAAGACTCAAAATGCTTTAAAAACACAAACTAAAATGATTTCTAACTAAATTGAACAATAAAGTAAAGGGGGATTGAGTTTTGGACGGAATTAAACTAAATGAACAAATTGCAATTAAAACATAATGTAAATATGAAATTGATGAAATGGAATGAATGGATGCTAGCCAAGGGGTTCATCTCCACACATGTTACACTTGCATAATAAAAAGATTTCTAATTGCTTTTCAATAAACCATGAATTCTCAACGCCCCGGGTTAATTAGGTCCGCTTAAATTAACCGTCAAGTTTTCCTTAAGTTAATGAATTGGATGATTGCATACGACAATCCAAAGCATTCCTCACAAGTTCCCTACATGAATTGCATAATAGAGATACAAGCAAGAATCATTAAGCATCATGAAAACTATAAGTGTTGACGAGGCATTCGTTACTATGATTGCATGAAACTTATGCCAAGAATATGTTTAACACGATTGTTTATAAGCAACCTCCACTACTTGTGAATATAAGTTCATAACTATTACGTGAAACTCACTTATATTCTAGCGTCAAATTCATGCATGAAAATTAAGCGTTCATTCTTAATAAACATACATAAATAGGTTATCAATCAAACAGTTAAACAAATTGAATTCACAACTTATGAAACGTAATTAAAAGTAATCAAATCATATTACAAACATAAACATAGTTTCGAATTACCCCCTAGCTAAAGGGGGTTTAGTTCCTCATAACTTTGAAATCAAAGAAACACCTAAACATTCCAACAACTCAAAACTTTGAATTGTATGAACGTTTAAGCACTCTTTTCTTCCATTTCTCATACGTACAAAACAAAGAGAATTAAAATGAAACTTTGAAATCAAAGAAACACCTAAACATTCCAACAACTCAAAACTTGAATTGTATGAACGTTTAGGCACTCTTCTCTTCCTCGTTGTTGTAGCACAAGGTTTAAGGATAGGTTGGTTGGGGGGATGGATTGGGGAATTTATGGAAATGGAAGAAATGGAGGAGAAATGGAAGGGAAATGGAGAGAAACTCACGGCTAGGGAGAAGATGGAAGTGTTTGTGGTGTGTTGTGTATGAAAATGAGATGATTCAATGAATGGGAATGCAAGAGTATTTATAGGAGGAGTGAGGGAACATATAGGGAGAGAATGGATGGGAGAGCATGTGAATGATAGCTAGGAGAATGATTAAAGGGGTGTGAATGGTTGGAAATGCATGTGGGTGAATTGGTGGTGCAATGATGAAAGAATAAGTGCATGTGTGTGTTTTGTGTTGGAATGAATGTGGATGCATGATGAAAAGTTAATAAATAATGCATGTAGGGTTAGGAAATAAAATCATAATTTAAAGGGGGGATGATTAAAGGATGTGGCTAGGTTGGAAAGGTGTGGAAGATGGATGGAATTAGGGGGAATGCATGGCAATGATGGGGAGTTCTTTGGTGATGAATGCAATGATGAAGAGTGAATAAATAATGCATGTAGGGTTAGCTAGGTTGGCTTTGTTTGGGTGCATGTGAGTTAAAGAGGGAGAATGTGGTGAAATGATGAAGTAGGAAGGTGGAAATGCATGTGAATGCATGTGAGTGCATGTGTGTGTGAATGGGTGTTTCTTGATGGTTTTGGGGTTGTGATGCATGTGAATGCATGTGGCTAAGACTTGTTGATTGGGCTAGAGGTTTTGCATGGCTCAAAGGATTGTTTGATTGGGCTAGGCCCTTTGTTTTATGTCTAAAGTGCATACAAGGCTTTCAAATTCGTCCAACACTTTGGCTCCAAAAATATGCTATCCATTCCAAGCCCAATTTTGCTCCAAAATGCATCTTTTTGCTTCCTTAGCCATATGAACCTAAAAACACACGAAAATGGCTTAAACTACTAAAACAACTATGAATTAACAACATAGATGCACGAAAACAAGCTAAGTAAGTCGCCTAAATATGCTCCTATCAACTGACACTAACAGTAATAAATATACTAAGACTAGGGTTAATAAGTATCAAATAATTGAAAAAATCAATAATAAGGGTCTTTTTTATCTCACACTTCAGCAAGACCAAAAAATCAACCTATCCAATCAAAAACCCCTTTTGGATTGGATGGGAATGAATGAAGAAATACTAAGTCGTCCCATATCAAATCTGGAACTTTGGTTCTTGCCAGAATTTGTGAGACTTTATAATACGTATAAAATGAAACCGTGGGTTATACCAATTAAATTACTACTTTTTAATTCTAATATAAAAAAAAATGCTAGTGAAAACAAAAGCATCACTGGAAATAAAAAAAGAGATCCTTTTATATCAATATCGTCGAATGAAAAAAAATCTCTTGAATTAGAAAACCGAAATCAAGGAGAAAAAGAATCCATGGGCCAAGCAGATCTTAAATCAGCTCTTTCAAACCAAGAAAAAGATGTTGAAGAAGATTATACGGGATCGGACATGAAAAAACATAGAAATAAAAAGCAATACAAGATAAAATACAAAAGCGGAGTTTGATTTCTTCCTAAAAAGGTATTTGTATTTTCAATTGAGATGGGATGATTCTTTAAATAAAAAAATAATCAATAACATCAACGTATATTGTCTCCTGCTTAGACTGATAAATCCAAGAGAAATTACTATATCCTCTATTCAAAGGGGCGAAATGAGTCTGGATATTTTGACGATTCAGAAAGATGTAACTCTTACAGAATTTATTAAAAGGGGATTTTTGATTATTGAACCAATTCGTCTAGCTATAAAAAATGATGGAAAATTTATTATGTATCAAACCCTCGGTATTTCATTAGTTCATAAAAGTAAACATCAAATAAATCAAAGATACCGAGAAAAAAAACATGTTGATAAGAATTCTGATGAAGTCATTACAAAACATCAAAAGATGACTGGAAATAGATATAAAAAAAATTATGATTTGTTTGTTCCTGAAAATATTTTATCGCCTAGACGTCGTAGAGAATTGCGAATTCTAATTTGTTTAAATTCTAAGAATAGACATAGAAAGGCATCTTTTTGTAATGGGAATGAGGTAAACAGTCAAGTTGTGGATAAAAGCAAAAAATATAAAAAAAAACTTATAAAATTAAAGCTATTTCTTTGGCCCAATTATCGATTAGAAGATTTAGCTTGTATGAATCGTTATTGGTTTAATACCAATAATGGCAGTTGTTTCAGTATGGTAAGGATACATATGTATCCGCGATTGAAAATTCATTAATAGTAAATTTTTCCTATATTTCCCATACCATATCTGGTCTATGACGACAAAGAGATACACGCATACATTGTCTTACATTCCATTCTGATACATGATACTAATTCAATGACATATCAATTAGATCTAGAATGAACAAAATTTTCTTATTTTAGGTCTAAACTTTTATCTTTTGTGAGTGAAGAAACCAACCATACTTTTGTATCCCCTTTCAAATCCAATTTTAAAATGAAAATAGGATTGAGTAAGTTTTATTAAATAAAAAAAAAATTAGAAATTAATAACGAAATACAAATTTTTGTATATACCAAATAAAAATTAGGGGCATTATTATTACTGATCAATAAAGATATCTATCAATAAAAAATATCTTAAAATAAAAAGAGGGGGGGGAGAGAAGATTTCAGTTTATGGTAAAAAATTCATTCATCTCAGTTATTTCACAAGAAGAAAAAGACGAAAACAGAGGATCTGTTGAATTTCAAATAGTTAGTTTCACCAATAGGATACGAAGACTTACTTCACATTTACAATTACACAAAAAAGACTATTTATCTCAGAGAGGTTTACGTAAAATTCTGGGAAAACGCCAACGATTACTGTCTTATTTGTCAAAGAAAAATAGAATATGTTATAAAGAATTAATTAATCGGTTGGATATTCGGGAGTCAAAAACTCGTTAATTTTATTTTTCTAAAGGCATTTTGAATTATTTGATTTATTAGATCTTGAATTTTAATGAACTTTTTTTCGTTTTCAGCAATTCATGAAAGAATGAATCGAGGAAAAACCTATGAATATACCGGCTACAAGAAAAGACCTCATGATAGTCAATATGGGCCCCCACCACCCATCAATGCATGGTGTTCTTCGACTCATCATTACTCTAGATGGTGAAGATGTTATTGACTGTGAACCAATATTGGGTTATTTACACCGAGGAATGGAAAAAATTGCGGAAAATCGAACAATTATACAATATTTGCCTTATGTAACACGGTGGGATTATTTAGCTACTATGTTCACAGAAGCAATAACTGTAAACGGACCAGAACAGTTGGGAAATATTCAAGTACCTAAAAGAGCCAGCTATATCAGAATAATTATGTTGGAGTTGAGTCGTATAGCTTCTCATCTGTTATGGCTCGGTCCTTTTATGGCGGATATTGGTGCACAAACTCCCTTTTTCTATATTTTCAGAGAAAGAGAATTAGTATATGATCTATTCGAAGCTGCCACCGGTATGAGAATGATGCATAATTATTTTCGTATCGGAGGAGTAGCGGCCGATCTACCTCATGGCTGGATAGATAAATGTTTGGATTTCTGCGATTATTTTTTAACAAGAGTTGCTGAATATCAAAAACTTATTACACGAAATCCTATTTTTTTAGAACGAGTCGAGGGAGTAGGCATTATTGGTAGAGAGGAAGTAATAAATTGGGGTTTATCGGGACCAATGCTGCGAGCTTCCGGAATACAATGGGATCTTCGTAAAGTTGATCATTATGAATGTTACGACGAATTTGATTGGGAAGTACAGTGGCAAAAAGAAGGAGATTCATTGGCTCGTTATCTAGTCCGAATTGGTGAAATGATAGAATCCGTAAAAATTATTCAACAGGCCCTGGAAGGAATTCCAGGGGGACCCTATGAGAATTTAGAAATACGATACTTTGATAGAGAAAGGAATCCGGAATGGAATGATTTTGAATATCGATTTATTAGTAAAAAGCCGTCTCCTACATTTGAATTGCCGAAACAAGAACTTTATGTGAGAGTAGAAGCCCCAAAGGGAGAATTGGGAATTTTTCTCATAGGGGATCAGAGTGGTTTTCCTTGGAGATGGAAAATCCGCCCGCCGGGTTTTATCAATTTGCAAATTCTTCCGCGGTTAGTTAAAAGAATGAAATTGGCTGATATTATGACGATACTAGGTAGTATAGATATCATTATGGGAGAAGTTGATCGTTGAAATGATAATTGATACACCGGAAGTACAAGATATCGATTCTTTTTCTAGATTAGAATTTTTTAAAGAGGTTTATGGAATTCTATGGGTTCTTGTTCCTATTTTGACTCTTGTAGTGGGAATCACAATAGGCGTACTGGTAATTGTATGGTTAGAAAGAGAAATATCGGCAGGGATACAACAACGTATTGGACCTGAATACGCCGGCCCTTTGGGAGTTCTTCAAGCTCTAGCAGATGGGACAAAACTACTTTTCAAAGAAAATCTTTTTCCATCTAGGGGGGATACTCGTTTATTCAGTATCGGGCCATCCATAGCAGTCATATCAATTTTAGTAAGCTATTCAGTAGTTCCTTTTGGATATCACCTTGTTTTAGCGGATCTCAATATCGGTGTTTTTTTATGGATTGCCATTTCCAGTATTGCTCCAATTGGACTTCTTATGTCGGGATACGGGTCAAATAATAAATATTCCTTTTTAGGCGGTCTACGAGCTGCTGCTCAATCGATTAGTTATGAAATACCATTAACTTTATGTGTGTTATCAATATCTCTACGTGCGATTCGTTGATACATAGACAGAAACTTTTCTCTATTCCTTCCTTTCAAGGAAAGGGTTGGAATGGATTGAGTAGATATCTTTATTTTTTTTTATTCATTATTCGGGTTGATGAACTAAATCAAATAGTTATATGAGTGAAAGAAAACAGCTTATATATAAATTCGCAGTAAAAAGATTGATTCTCATTTTCTATGTATAAGAGTTAGAGAGTTAAGCGGAAATAAACATAAACAGAAGAGACCGTTTCCCCCAAGATTGGTTGATTAGTCATCCTGACTTGAAGCGGGTTCAAAAGATCAACCGTATTGAGTTTTCACTATCATTTTTATGTATTAGCATAACGGGGGATTGAGCAAAAACGAGTGGATGGTTAGAAACACGAACATATGGAAAGGATTAGTAATGGAGATTATGTAAATTTTCCAAAAGGACATTTTTACATAATATACAAACAAAGAATACTAATTGGGGCTTTAAGTTGGTAGAAATGATCAGGCAGTACTCCCCATGACACGATTCCAATCCAGAGTATACTCCTATCCACCGATTTAATAAATAACTATTCGAAACGAAATAATCCTTTACTTTATTTTGAAAGCCCTCTTTTTCTCAGAAATAGAAAGAAGAATAGGAACGAAAAAAAAAAAAGAAAAGATATACTTTATTTATTCTTTGTTACTTTTATTCTTTCCCATATACATATTAATAGATATATAATTTGTGTCATAATTCATTAATTAATATAGAATTTTTTTTTTTCGTACGTGAAACCAACGGGTTATTGATATTTTTACAAGAAGTATTTTATTGAACAGTTAAGTTATTACTGAACAAAGAAGAATTGAAATTATTATTGAAATTATTAAATTAAAGAAAGGATGAGATCAATTCAGAAGTACTTTTTTTTATTTAATTTTGAATTAAAATAATTATAACAGACAGAATTCAATTGGTCTAATTTGGGACCGGCCGATAGTTATCCATCCTACAAACATATCAAGATTCAAAAAAGAATACTGACGCGGTCCCTATATTTATTTCTGGCCTTCAAGGAGCCGTATGAGGTGAAAATCTCATGTACGGTTCTGTAATAGCGATGGTAACAGTGATGGTATCACCGACTATAATTATCTAACAGTTCAAGTACAATTGATATTGTTGAGGCGCAATCAAAATATGGTTTTTGGGGATGGAATTTGTGGCGTCAGCCTATAGGGTTTATCATTTTTATTATTTCTTCCCTAGCAGAATGTGAGAGATTACCTTTTGATTTACCAGAAGCAGAAGAAGAGTTAGTAGCAGGTTATCAAACCGAATACTCAGGTATAAAATTTGGGTTATTTTATGTTGCTTCCTATCTAAACCTATTGGTTTCTTCATTATTTGTAACAGTTCTTTACTTGGGAGGTTGGAATATATCTATTCCGGACATATATGTTTCTGAGCTTTTTGAAATAAATAAAACATGTGGAGTTTTTGGAGCGATAATTGGTATCTTTATTACATTAGCTAAAACTTATTTGTTCTTGTTCATTCCTATCACAACAAGATGGACTTTACCGAGGCTAAGAATGGACCAACTATTGAATCTTGGATGGAAATTTCTTTTACCTATTTCTCTCGGTAATCTATTATTAACAACTTCTTTCCAACTCTTTTCACTGTAAAGTAACATTCTATATTCACAACGTGTCTCAAACAAGAGAAATAAACAAACATAAAACTATTCATATATATATTAACGATATGTTCTCTATGGTAACTGGGTTCATGAATTATGGTCAACAAACAGTACGAGCTGCAAGGTACATTGGTCAAAGTTTCATGATTACTTTATCCCACGCAAATCGTTTACCCGTAACTATTCAATATCCTTATGAAAAATCAATCACCGCGGAGCGTTTCCGCGGTCGAATCCATTTTGAATTTGATAAATGTATTGCTTGTGAAGTATGCGTTCGTGTATGTCCTATAGATCTACCCGTTGTTGATTGGAAATTGGAAACTGATATTCGCAAGAAACGGCTGCTTAATTACAGTATTGATTTCGGAGTCTGTATATTTTGTGGTAATTGCGTTGAGTATTGTCCAACGAATTGTTTATCAATGACTGAAGAATATGAACTTTCTACTTATGATCGTCACGAATTGAATTATAATCAAATTGCTTTGGGTCGTTTACCAATGTCAGTAATTGACGATTATACAATTCGAACAATTTTGAATTCGCCTCAAATAAATAAGTAAATCTCTTATTAACGAATAATTTATAATTACTTTACTAATAACTAATATAGAAGGAATTTAGGTTTCTTTCGTGTTGTTTGGTCAATAACTACAAATACCAACTATTGATTGGTTGGTAAGAAACGCGTCTTAATTTGGATTGAAAATCCATTAATTAATATATCCATAATTGTTTTAAAATATATCGTTTAGAATTAGAACGACTCTTTCAGATAAAGAATGAAATTAGTCCAATAATAGTACTCACATTTATTCATATCCCTTAGTATTTATTTACTTAGGATTAAATTAGGAATTGCTCAAAAATCATAAAAAAAAAATTTATGGTCGGGTCTCAATAAGGTCATGAAAAACATTTCTATTTATTTATCTCTTATTTTACATATAATGGATTTGCCCGGACCAATACATGATTTTCTTTTAGTCTTTCTGGGATCGGTTCTTATACTAGGAGGTATGGGGGTGGTATTATTTACCAACCCCATTTATTCTGCCTTTTCATTGGGACTGGTTCTTGTTTGTATATCCTTATTCTATATTCTATTAAACTCTTATTTTGTAGCTGCTGCACAACTCCTTATTTACGTGGGAGCTATAAATGTTTTAATCGTATTTGCTGTGATGTTCATGAATGGTTCAGAATATTACAAAGATTTGAATCTTTGGACCATTGGGGATGTGGTTACTTTGCCAGTTTGTACAAGTATTTTTGTTTTACTCATGATTATTATTACGGATACGTCATGGTACGGAATTATTTGGACTACAAGATCAAACCAGATTATAGAGCAAGATTTGATAAGTAATAGTCAACAAATTGGAATTCATTTATCAACAGATTTTTTTCTTCCATTTGAATTCGTTTCGATAATTCTTTTAGCCGCTTTGATAGGTGCAATTGCCGTGGCGCGACAGTAAAAAATTTATAGAATTAGCAATGCACGTTAAACTCTGTTCGGTTTTATTACATTACATTTATTTCCCTTTAATTAAAGATTGTTTATGTCTAAAATAGAAATTATTCAATCTATTCTATTAACAATAGAAAATCTGCCTTTGTTCCGTACTTTTTTTTATTCTAGTCAATTGAATCTGTTGAATTGTTGTTCAGTTCATATTGAAATGAATCGAAATTGATAAGGAGTTGGTCAATGATGCTCGAACATGTACTTGTTTTGAGTGCCTACTTATTTTCTATCGGTATCTATGGATTGATCACGAGCCGGAATATGGTTAGAGCCCTTATGTGTCTTGAACTTATACTGAATGCGGTTAATATGAATTTCGTAACATTTTCTGATTTTTTTGATAGTCGCCAATTAAAAGGAAATATTTTCTCAATTTTTGTTATAGCTATTGCAGCCGCTGAAGCAGCTATTGGCCCGGCTATTGTTTCATCAATTTATCGTAACAGAAAATCAACTCGTATCAATCAATCGAATTTGTTGAATAAGTAGTATTAATCATATAAATTCTAATATTCATAAATTAGAATTACCATGACCATACATTCCGTAATAATACATGTTTTCAAAAATGTAAGAAATTAAAGTATCTTGGCTCTATCGCATGAGTCAATCCAGAAGTAGATTGATTAGAAAAATTATGATAAATTATTGATTCATCTGGTGTCTAAATATATGATTCATTTACAAGTTTACTAGATCGAAACTTTCTGACATTCAAAAATTTATAGATCCAAATGTCACATTCAGTAAAGATTTATGATACGTGTATAGGGTGTACTCAATGCGTGCGCGCCTGCCCAACGGATGTATTAGAAATGATACCTTGGGACGGGTGTAAAGCTAAGCAAATTGCTTCTGCTCCAAGAACAGAGGACTGTGTCGGTTGTAAGAGATGTGAATCCGCCTGTCCGACAGATTTCTTGAGTGTTCGAGTTTATTTATGGCATGAAACAACTCGAAGTATGGGTCTGGCTTATTAATACGTTCCAGAAAACCCTACTTGAATACATTTGATTTTTTTACCTTTACCGACAAAAACCCGCGCTCAAAAACTATTTATTTTGAGCACGGGTTTTTCTGGTCCAAGTTTATCTTGTTTTTACCATGAATAATTTTCCTTGGTTAACGCTAGTTGTAGTTTTGCCAATATTCGCGGGTTCCTTAATTTTCTTTCTCCCTCATAGAGGAAATAAGATAATTCGGTGGTATACTATAGGTATATGCATAATGGAACTCCTTCTAACAACCTATGCATTCGGTTATCGTTTCCAATTGGATGATCCATTAATGCAACTGACAGAGGATTATAAATGGATCGATTTTTTTGATTTTTACTGGAGATTGGGAATAGATGGAATTTCTATCGGACCCATTTTACTGACAGGATTTATCACAACTTTAGCTACTTTAGCGGCTCGGCCGATTACTCGAGATTCCCGACTATTCCATTTTCTGATGTTAGCAATGTATAGCGGTCAAATAGGACCATTTTCTTCTCGAGACCTTTTACTTTTTTTCATCATGTGGGAGTTAGAATTAATTCCAGTTTATCTACTTCTATCCATGTGGGGGGGAAAGAAACGTTTGTATTCAGCTACAAAATTTATTTTGTACACTGCAGGAAGTTCCGTTTTTTTATTAATGGGAGTTTTGGGTATTGGTTTATATGGTTCCAATGAACCAACATTAAATTTTGAAACATCAGCTAATCAATCGTATCCTGTAGCACTGGAAATAATATTCTATATTGGATTTCTTATTGCTTTTGCTGTCAAATCACCGATCATACCCTTACATACATGGTTACCAGACACCCATGGAGAGGCACATTACAGTACTTGTATGCTTTTAGCCGGAATCTTATTAAAAATGGGAGCATATGGATTGGTTCGGATCAATATGGAATTATTACCCCACGCCCATTCTATATTCTCTCCCTGGTTGATTATAGTAGGCACAATTCAAATAATCTATGCAGCTTCAACATCTCTCGGTCAGCGTAATTTAAAAAAAAGAATAGCCTACTCTTCTGTATCTCATATGGGTTTCATAATTATAGGAATTGGTTCTATAAGCGATACAGGACTCAACGGAGCCATTTTACAAATAATCTCTCACGGATTTATTGGCGCTGCGCTTTTTTTCTTGGCCGGAACGAGTTATGATAGAATACGTCTTGTTTATCTCGACGAAATGGGCGGAATGGCTATCGCAATTCCAAAAATATTCACGACTTTCAGTATCTTATAAGTAGTCATATAAGAATTATCCAAATCATTAGTAGAAGCATGGCTCCTACTAAGGATATAGGAATTCAACCATACCTTCTAGGTGGCTGATTTGATTCTTTATCAAAACTACATAAAGCATATTAGTTACATGAGGTGTCGAAACCGGATTGTCTTGTCGTTAAACACTATGTTGTGACTCAATTTGAAACTATTCCCTTTTGTTTCATCAACTTGTCCATTTGCTTTGATATTAACATGTTCTCATAAAAGAGAATGATGGACAACTCCCAACATACCCATTATATGCTAGGTTGGTGAAACCAACATCCATAGGTCACCCTTAGGATGTTACACAATGTAGAATCTTTAACACTTGAAGAGCTTGATATCTTTAACAATTAAAATTGCAAGCTCAAATAAGAATGGTATCATACCATTAATTATAGACAACTATAAACTAATCATATTTAAGTTTATATCCCTTTTCACCTCCCAATGTTTCTCATGACCTTAATGAGAAATTGCAATACATTCAAAGTGTACAATTACGAATACACGGGTAGAGTGACATAGTGGAGAAGCTTCAAACCTTTTAAGCTTATCATTTTAACTCCATTAAGTTGATGTCTTGTTATTAAGTGACTAAGGTCTTTAAACCTTTTATAGATTTTAGACACTTATTCTTGGTTTGGTTACTACTAACACATTTGACATTTCTTAAGACAATTTAAGAATGTCCAATTAGTTGTTCAAAACTACTAGTTGAAGCAAGAGTGATCTTGGTGATTGTGCTCAAGTAAGTTATAACCACATAAGAAACGTTTCCTTATGTCCTATTCACTTCATTATAATGTGATCTTCCTTTTCTACTAGAAAGAAATCTCTAGACTTTCTCAATACATATATAGAATTCATATGAAGGCAATTGCAACCAAATCTAAAGATTCATTGTATCCATCTAAGGCCAACATGTGAGACTATCTTTAATTGATAGATCTAAAGTTTGGTTATCACATTATAACCCTATGTCATCCAACTCAACTAAGGTAGGTCCAAATTCAATTCTTTCTAACCCTATTCAACCAAATGTGCCTTTCCCTGGCAGGTTTATGCAATCTAGGAAAGAAGAGAATGAAAAAGACATTCTAGAGACCTTCAAGAAGGTGCAAGTCAATATCCCCCTCATTGATGCGATAAAGCAAATTCCAAAGTATGCTAAGTTTTTGAAGAAGCTTTGTACAACAAAGAAACGAATTTGGGAGAAAGAGGTGGTACATGTAAGTGAAAATGTCTCTGCAATGTTGCAAAGGAAGCTGCCACCTAAATGCAAAGATCTAGGTAGTTTTACAATCCCTTGTGTAATTGGTAATACAAGGTTTGAACATGCTATGCTAGATTTAGGTGCTTCCATTAATGTCATGCCATATTCTGTTTATGCATCTATGAATCTAGGAAAGCTTAAAAATGATGGAGTTACTATCCAATTAGCCGATCGTTCTAATGCATATCTGAAAGGAGTTTTGGAAGATGTTTTGGTGCAGGTTAACCATTTGATCTTTCCGGCCGATTTCTATGTGCTTGAGATGGAAGATTCAGCCCACTATCCACCATTGCCAATCTTACTTGGACGACCTTTCATGAAAACAACCCAAACCAAGATTGATGTGGCCAAGGGAGCATTAACGATGGAGTTTGGTGGTGATATGGTTAAATTCAATGTTTCTGAATCAGTTAAGAATCCTAATGATGTTCGTTCTTGTTTTTCCATAGATGTGATTAAAAATTTAGGGCAAGAACGTTCAACAGCAGCAATCAAGAAGGATGTATGTAGAACCACCATCAAAGAGGGAATTGCAGTGCAGCACAAGGGACATGCCACTGCCCTCAAATTACCCAATCTGGCAGAGAGCATCCCTAGTGAATTTGTTGACAGTGCTGCTACTTTTGAGCCTTCGTTGCAATATATTGGTGAGCCACCTATTCCAATTCCAATTCCCATTTCAATTAATAGGTCATTACCTTCTTTGATTCAGGTGCCCAATCAAATCCAAGTTGGTGGGAGAGTTTACATTGACTTTAGGAAGCTCAATGCCACAATCAAGAAGGATCACTACCCCCTTTCGTTCATAGATCCTTATTATGAGTACTTTGAGGAGCATGTCCTGCAGGAAATACCCCTCCATGCTGTGGACCCTAATGGAGCTTAAAAGGAGGTATTGTCCGGCTAGAAGACGTTAAAGCAAGTGCTTCTTGGGAGGCAACCCATGCGTTTAAATAAAGAAGACCTAGGAATATCCGGCTCCACAACTAGATTTGCATTCCTTAACCCTACTCTTTATTGCTTTTACATTGCCATAATTGTCATGTTTGTTAGTTGCGTTATTTGATTGTTTGCGTGTGAGTCTACTTTTGAAACATTGAGGATAATGTTTGGTTTAAGTGTTGGGGGGGGGGGGGTAAATAGATGCTTTTCATGACTTATTTTCGAATTTTATCACCTATCACTTCTAAAAGTTGTTACTCACTGTTTTTAAGTGTTTTTATTGTGTTTTGAATGTTTTAATGTGTCCTATAACAAAAAATCCTAGAATTTTGAAAAAAAAAATCAAATAAGCTTGAGAAAATACCAAAGAAGAGTCGTTTTTGTTTGTTTGTTTGTGTCTTAGGGTACCTTCCAACACAAGGATGAGGATTTGGTTTTTAATTGCATGACTATTAAAGAAAGTTACAAACATGGATGGAAGTTTGATATGCTCTTTGGTTTATGCTTAGTTGTAGTTGTCATTTACGAATTCACATGTAATCACAAAGAAAAAAAATCAGTTTTTGTAACATGTTTGAAGGAAGGAACTCAAACTAACACTACAACCTTGAGATACTTGAGCCTAAACTTTGTTTGGAGAGTTATTAATCTGTGATGTTTTTGTTTTCTAAAGTCGTTGCATGATCTCATTATTTCTTTGCTTGGTTGCTACTTAGAAAGCATTTTCATCATTTTAGTTCCAAATACTAGAACTCATACATGTTTCATTCAAGGCATGAAATTGATTGCATAACATATAACAAGATGAAGTTGTTTAGTTAAACCAAAGCAAAAAAGCCTTACCCTTTGCATATGTATTGTAG